CTAGGGAATTCATCAGATCTGCTTCAAAATTGGTCAGTACAGTCAAAGTATGTTGCTGATTAAAAGTTGTGCTATTTGTGCACGTACGTTGAAGGGCGTGTCCGTGGCGTGCCGTCAAAGTTGGCCAGGTTGAATCGAATCTCAAACTTTGATGCCATTTCCGGCATTTCGCAGACTTTCAGCTGTTTTTTGCGTTGTATTTGTATTGTATTTTAAACCCTAATAAACCCTAATAAAAAGAGTGGAAATAATCTGCTATAATTCATCCAAATCACTCGTTCTACACAAACTTCTTGCTGTTACTGAGTTCATTGATTGGGTTAATTGTACAGTTTTGAATATAATGTGAAATTTCCATAGAATATGTCAGTCAGGGGTCAGTTTACTAAATGATAGAAAAGGGGTCCTTTTAAGGAAAGAGCTTGATGTGCTAAACTAAGTGAACATGATTAAAAAAAAAACACCAGCCACACATCAGGATGTTGGCATTGTCATTGTGAGTATGTTAGCATGCTTCGTTTTAAGGGCTTGAGTGCTTGTCACCTCTTGGCATGGTGATGTATGTATGTATGTATTTCTTTAGTGAGGGAGGTCACAGCCCAAAAGGTCAACAGATGTTCTCAGTAATTTGTAATGACCGTAACTTTAGTCTTGAGTGTGTTTCTGACTAATGTAGAGGAGCAGCCATCTGCAGCAGTAGATGTATCACACATTATTCATGAGCCATTGATTCAGCCAGTGTTTCTCTTTTTAATAGTGAAAAGCATCCTATTGGTATGTAGCATTGTATTGATCGAGACTACGTGTTGCAGTCTAATTAACACACAGCTCCGGACCAGGCCAGTGCATTGTATCTGTCCTTGTCTTGCAAGATTAATGACGGTGTCTGTGCCGGCAGTGCAGGGCCATCTCCCCTGGGTCTTGTAACACGATTAGTCCAGCAGCACTTGGACACAAGTGACTCAAGTACAGCATCTGACTGTGATGTTGGTGTGTCAGCCTCCACACAAGGTTAATGAGCAGCGGTGGTTAGTGAATTAATATCAGTTGACAGTGCTTTGGTGTTTGCCCTTGCAATTAGGGGTCTGATTAAATGTGTGATATGTATGATTTTTTTTCTGTATGTTAGCTCTCTGGCTGAGGTGATTTTGTAAGGTCAGTGAGCCAGTGTGTTGATGTCAAGACTAGAGGAGAAATGTCATTTTATAGATGAAATGTTATACCTTCAGCCTATGAGACGTGGTGTGCTGTGTGATGACATTTTCAGCCTAAACAATTAATGGATTGACTGAGGGGGATTAGTACTAATCAATAATTAAAAATATTGTTGGTACATACTGGCAATACAATACAACACAAGGTTGTATAATGAAATGAAAGTTTGCAGTTCCTTCATGCTACACACAATAAAAAGATAATTAAATTCACAGAATAACACAGAAAGTAAATGAAATGAAATAAACCAATACATATACAGTTACATACAAGCACACACCTGGGAAATAATTCGGTAGTATATATTTTGATTTGTCTCTGTAATATATAAATGTAAATGTAAACAGCAGTAACAATTTAGTGATAATATCTATCAAATTTTTTAATCCTGTTGCATTTACACCATTATTAAAACTGCTTTTGGTGTGTGTTTTTCTCTGTATGAAGGTGTGGGCTGCTGCAGGTTGGGGACAGACTGTTGTCCATTAATGGGATCCCAACTGAAGATGGCACTTTGGAGGAAGCCCATCAGCTGCTCAGAGACTCCGCACTGGCCAATAAGGTCACGGTGGAGATTGAGTTTGATGTTGCAGGTATCATGTTGTGAATTTCTTATTTCTTATTGTGAGCTCTTGTTACATTTGTGCCTTCCTGCCTTACATTTATCTTTTACTTTTAAATCCATTTAGAGTCAGTGGTTCCCAGCAGTGGCACCTTCCACGTTAAACTACCCAAGAGGAGAGGAGTGGAGCTGGGCATCACCATCAGTGGTGAGTTTGTCAGCAGAGTCAAACAGCAGGGGGCAGTGTTGCTCAGTAATGCTCCACAGACCTGCACGCTGTAAATGTCCTTTGAATCAATGTTCTGTGATCCATAAAACACAAGGCTTCCAAAACCATGAGGGCACATACCTCATTACCTCTGAATAATACTGGCCTGTACCAGCATTCATCATGACCCTTTCAGCTCTAACTAGCTCGGAAAAACACGGACAGGAAGTTTAATTAGTGCAACAAAAAGAAAAGGAAGTTGAGTGATTTTTAAATGTTTCCATGTTAACACTGTCTTATCCTCTCATCATACTCATCATCCTCATCCTTGAATAAAAAACGTGAATTTTCCTTCTGTTTTACCAGCAAGTAAGAAACCTGGCAAGCCCCTCATCATCTCTGACATCAGGAAAGGAAGCATAGCACACAGGTATGTCCTATAAACACACAGCTAATAATATTACTGCTGAACACACATTACAGCTCTCACAGCACTAAGTCATGTAATTGTTCTTGGAAATACAGAAGTGGTCCGTGGCTTTCAGTTCTGGTGCAGGTCACATTAGAGAGACGTCATTTCGCTTTACAGTGCAGGGGGAAGTAGGTTTTCAAGGCTTATGTGGGATTATTCACGAACAAAATAAAAATTGTTTGTGAATCCACTGTGTAATACAAGCCTAATTGGATTGAACTATCAAAACTGGATCAGTAGGGCAGCTACATTTCAGAAGGGCTCAGTGTTGATTAGGTTGAGGTTGAGGTTACGGTCACACCCAAGAATCCCACTGAGACACCAGACTAATAGGATTCTCATACTGAGTCAGGAGATGCAGCTCCCTGGTCCCAGTTAATAGTTGTGATCCTCCTGCTCTTGTGTCTGTTAGAACAGGCACTCTGGAGCCTGGAGACAGGCTTCTGGCCATCGACAGCGTGCGTCTGGAGAACTGCACCATGGAGGACGCTATGCACGTCCTGCAGCAGGCCGAGGACATGGTCAAGCTCCGCATCCAGAAAGATGAGGACAACATTGGTACAAATAATGCCTTCAAACACCAAATACACATCCTGTATAGAAGCAGCAGTGGGAAATAACCAAGTACATTTACTCAAGTATTATACTTAAGGACAACATTTACATTTGATGCTACTTTATGCTTCAACTCCATGATAAACTATATATAATATATATATATATATATATATATATAATAAATTAAATTTAAACCAGTTCCGGTTCCTTTTTGGCTTGTGACCCCTTATAAAAAAGCATTGTCCTAGTTGAGGCCAGTTGATGTTTATAAGTTAAATCAAAAAGGGATTTCCCCTTTTAAATGTCTCCAGTGATTTCATTTAAACTAATGATTGATATAAATTAGTTAGCTAGTTAGCCGGCATTTTGCTAACATTACCTAACTAACTTAAGATGTGATTATGTCATTTCTATCTTCAAACCATCCTCAAAATGTGGTTGTCTTTTCAACATAGACGAACCTAGCACGTAGCAGATCTGAGTACAGGAACTAAGAAAGTTGGGAGCACAGAACAAAAAGGAGCGGGACTCAAGACTGGTCAATTCTTTGCTTTATTGATTTTCTTTATTTTATTTTTGGTCCATATAAATATCAGATAATAGTAACAAATGTCTATTTCAGGTTGCCAGAGCCCAAGTTGATGTATTCAGATTTCTTGTTTTGTCACCAAACAGTCCAAACTCCAAATATATTAATTTTAATATATTAGTAAATTAAGAAAAACAGCTAATATTAATATTCCAAAATCTGGAACCAGGGGATTTTTCACTTGAAAATGTAATTTTCTGTTGTCATTGTATCGGCTCTACACTGGATTAATTATATATTTTTAAAAAAACTGTATATAAAATAGTTAAAGTAGCTGCAAGTACTGACAATGTAATCATGTCATAAGATCATTTTACTGATAATACTTCTGTACTTTCACTTAAATAATAGTTTGACTTTCTCTGTTGTATAGGTACTTTTACTTAAGTAAAGAATGTGAATATTTCTACTGTGTATTAACCATACAGAAATTCTAAATCAGTACAGTAAGTTAAATAGCTCCTGTTATTTATCCATTTACACAAACATTTTAACATTTTATCATAAAATTGTTTTATCTTCACAGGGTTTATAACATCTATATAATCTTGAGTCTTATTTATGGTATCTCTACTGTGTCCCGCTATTGCTGTAGATGAGTTGGAGATGTCCGGCTCTATAATCTACACAGTTGAGCTGAAGAGATATAACGGACCACTCGGCATCACAATTTCTGGCACAGAGGAACCATTTGACCCCATCGTCATTTCTGGCCTCACTAAGAAAGGCCTGGCAGAGAGGTGAGGAATGGGGGTGAAGATGATAACACTTAAATTAGACTATTGTTAGTCATATCTGCAAAGGGAACCTTTTTCTTTTTGTCATTGTTAGCATGTTAGCTCAGTTTTCTTTCTGTTTTCTAAAATAAAAAAGACAGTAAACAATGGCTGTCTCGTCTTTTTCTGTAACAATAAGCCTCTTTGTTCCCGTCTCAGTCAGCGCACTGGCAGTCTGACAGGCCCGCCTGCCGGTACTGTCTGGTATACTCTGGTATCTCTGTCTCCTCTGCTCTCCTAACTCTGCAGGACCGGAGCCATCCATATAGGAGACCGAGTCCTGGCCATTAATGGGGTCAGTCTGAAAGGAAAGCCACTAAGCGAAGCCATCCATCTCCTGCAGATGGCCGGGGAGTCAGTCACCCTCAAGATAAAAAAGCAAGCCGACCGTATGTTTTTTTTAATTTAGTTATATTATTATATTATTTATTTCCCTTTTAAAGGTCCAGTGTGTAACATTTAGGAGGATCTATTGGCAGTAGAAGTAGAATAAATTATTGATGGGTATGTTATCATTATCATCAAAGGTGTAATCACCTGAAAATGCGTCTTTTTTTTAATCTATAAACGCTGCGGGTCGCCTTCCATGGAGTCCGTCATGTTGAACCGCCATGTTTGGAGTTGGAGTTTTGCAGCCACCGTAGTTTCTCATACACCCTTCACAGTCCAACGTCGTTAAATACACACACAAGCAGTGTTTAGTTGGTTGCAATCTGCAACTTAACTGCTAGACGCCACTAAATCCTACACACTGGACCCGTAATTACTCATAGCAGTTGATCAAAACTGATCTTACAAATACAGCTGCAGTATTGAGGGGGAAAAAAAAAACAAGCAAAATATAATTTTATATATATTATATTATTTTATTTTATTATTTTATTATTATAATAAATTAAAATACCAGTTGAGCCAGTTTTCACTTATACATTGCCTTCATCCTTTGCAGATCGTATGTTTATTTATATGTAACTTAATTTACATACTTTTCAGGAGGGGGAAAAGAGAAGAGGGAGAAAATGAGACAAAGATAAATATAAAAACAATTGTGCAAATCATGAAAAACAAAGTTGTAAAATAAAGAAAACAAGTTAGTTTTAATATGCTTTTAAAAATGGGCATTGGTTTAGCTCTTTCTGAGGCCTGAAGGCAGTGAAAGTGATGCAGTGTTTTTATTTTTGCATTAAAAAAAAAAAGACAGGAAGTGAGTTTCTTCCTTGTTCAATGCTGATTTGACACTCGTGTTCAAATTCCCAGAGTCTGACGGTCGGCAGCTTCTGGACAGAGAAGCTGGCTTTCTAAGTGATACAGAGGATGAACTGACAGACTTCCAGAAGACCAGTAAACACTCAGAGGTCTACTCTGCCACTGTGCCCAGTATAGACTCTGCAATGAGCTCCTGGGATAGCTCAGGGTTTGACGCAGGCTACAGTAGCCAAGGTGAGGTCCACTGAATGCTCGCTGCTTAAAAATTACCCATCTCCTTTCTTGCGTCTAATGAGGTCAGTGGATTTTCTTGCTTTTTCAGGGACATATCTTCACAAAGCGTCCGATATATTGCTCAATCCAAATGAGTGGCGGCGTACAAAGCACAGGAGCCAAACCGGTTCCAGCACTGCAGGCCTAGTCCACCACCCAGCGCTGTACGATGGGAGATTCACTGAGGATGAGTGGGACAAGATACCTGGGTAAGTGCACACACCTGCAGTTTACTTCCTGTTGACATCTTGTTTTATGCCATTGCAGCTTTAAGTGTTTTTGATTTCATTGTAAAGGGCATATTTAATTTAAATCATATTCTGCATACTGGCAGTGGTGGAAAGTAACAGTACATTTACTCGGACGTAGTTACTTTACATAAAACAAATATGAATAATTTATATAATACAACACGTTGTTGAGATTAAACCATTTCCCAGCCTTCTAGCTTTGTGATCTCCCTGACAATAAAACAGTGTTTAGTCGGGACAGAGGGGCAATCTCTGTGGCTGGCAAATGAAGCCAACGCAGAAGTAACAAAAACTGCAGTTCCTCGAATGACCCCTTGAGGCTGGCTGCAGAAGTGAGTCACTCCTCCATATGGCCAAAAAAATGCCCAACTTTACAGCAGAACTAAACATGATTACAGCCGGGAACAAAAAAACAAGCTACATTTCAGATTTTTTTTAAAATGATATGGCTTAAAATCTTGCAAACTTGAGTGACTGTTTTCAGTGACCAGGCTACATTCAGCCTGCCTCTGCTCTGCTTTTGCTCCACTTATTTGCCCATTTTTGGATGAGCCGGGAGCCGGCAGAGTCAGAAGTGCCAAGACAGTCAACGGCCACAGCCGACCACACTGAGCTTTACAGCGGCTCTTCACAATTTTATGGGCGATGTCATGGATACTACGTCCATTTTTTGAATTATACAGTCTCTGGTTAGGACCCTTTGTCATGTTTCAGATGCCTATAAATTAGTGAAGAGAAATGTCCCCTCTAAACTTATCACATAGTTTTGTTTGAATAACTGTTAAGAGACCTAACAATGTGTAATTATCCAATATTTCACAAAAAAAGCCCAAAAATGAATGAAGTTCCTATAGTATAACTTCTTTCCTTTCTCATTAATCATCTCATGACCCCTCAGATTCATTTTATGACACTTTGGAGTGGTCCAACCCCTTACTAAACAACCTAACTGTATCTAAAGTAGTTTCTTCCCCTCAACTAGCAACAAAAGTTAAATGCTGTTTACACATTGTTGCATTAGTATTACCAGTCATGTAATATATCAGTCATAGGGGACATTTTAGGGGACACTTTCACTTTTTATTCTTTTAAGTGTATTTAGCTCATAATACTGTACTTCTACTGAATCTAGGACTTTTACTTGCATTGATACTTTTACTTAAGTAAAGGACCTGAGTACATTTTCCACCACTGTGTATAAATAAAAGCTTTTCTTTTCCCGTCTTCGGGTTCATTAACTAAAGCAAACTGAATTACTTTCTCTTCATTTTGTGTTGTATGCTTTCATGTTTTGTGCTTTTCCAAACTGTCCTTTTCTCTTCTTTCTCAGGTATTCTCTTTCTCATCTGCTTTACTAACTGCCCACGAGCTCTTTGGTGTTTCACATAGATGCATCTTTTCTGTCACCCTTTGTCCACACCAAAAAACGTTTCCTCAGAATGCACCTAAAGCGCCCAAGGATACATCAGCCTTATCTGTCTCTTCACACTTGACTTCTTTTTTTTCCCCCTGAACTTTTGTGTCACATGCTTTCAATTTTCTGCTATTTTTTTTGGGGTGACTTTACTTTGGTTAAAAAAAAAAGAAAAAAAACTCTTTTAAAGGCTTTTATCTAATCTAGCGGACTCCTCAGCGTTCGAGCTGCCACAAGTGAGAGAATTCACAATAAACCCTGAATGTGGTCGTGAGAGATTTTCAAAAGGGATTCTCCAGCACGCAGCCCCAAAACTACATTTCCCATGCTGCTTTTGTAAGCAGCGGGCCTCAAGACCCACAGGGCTGCTCTCATGTTCTGGTTCCTGCATTGTCATAGATTCATCAGCCCTCCTCGTTGCCATGGCACCCTGAACCAGGAAGACAGCTTCTGGTCCCAGGCTCTGCAGGACCTCGAGACCTGCGGCCAGTCAGAGATTCTCAGGGAGCTGGAGGTAGGCCCGCCTATCATCTCCAACCCCCCTCCTGCTACTGTTTCCTTTCCTCCTCCATCTGCTTTGTCCTACTAGTGTATTCATAGACCGGTGTCAGCCTAAATGACCATGCCAGATGAAGCATTATGATAATCGCCAGAGTGTGTAATCTGTTATTAAATCTGACAAGACAGGCCGGGCACCTGCTGCCATACTGACTGGCTTTTATGCAATGCCCTGGCCTCTAATCAGACTCTGTGTACAATTCAAGAGAGGTTATGTGTTTGTTTACGTACTTGTTCAAACGGAAATGATGATAATCCCTTTTTGATTTTGTGCTCTTTCAGGCATCCATGACAGGTAGCGCTTTTAGTCTGTACCTAGAGGAGAGCAAGACCAACGAAGACTCAATGTTTCAGTCTGAAATTAGTCCCATTAAGAGGGATGGAATTCATGGCGACCCTAAGAACAAAAGCAACCTGAACATGCCAACTGGAGCCAGAGACGTACCATCCCGGGGCAAAGGGGACCCCCCTGATATTTTGTCCCCTACCACCCTGGCACTGCACAAGGTAGTTGTGTTAGGGACTAAATTGTTTCAAAACAAATAATTAAACTTCACATATAAGAAACATTGGTGACAATATAGATTACAGCCCAAAAATTACAATGTAAATATTTTCTACAGGAGGGCTACCAAGGAAGTTTCTGTAAAAGAAGTCAAACTTTTTCACTTAGGCTCCATTGTTAAACTTTAATTGCGGTTTGGCCTTTTGTTAGCACAAAGCCGCCATTTGGGTGGCATGAAAATGCTAACTTTTGAAACTGGCTTCCAAAGTGCAATCTTCTGAAGACACGCCTCCACTATGATCTGTGTGTAAACTGCCATAACGCTTTCGCTATAAGAATGGTGTCGACACAGCCCCACTTTGCACATTACTATTAAGTTTTTCAACAGTAACAATATTATAATAATAATAATAATAATGTTATAAGGATCGGGTCTAGACCTTCTCTATTATGAAAAGTGTCCTGGAGATCTGTTTAATGGCTGACAAATAAAATTGAATTAAATTGAATAAAATTGGCGGTCTATCGAGCTGTGTTTGTGCTGCAGTCTCTGCTGACTTTATTAACGCTCCTGCAGCAAAGTGTGTGATCAGCAGAGACGCAACACAAATCGCTGCACGCATTTGCAGATCTGCCAGAACAAAAGTGTAGCAAAAGTCAGGTATAAAAAGACAGCCAATTAAGAGTCCTGCCTGAGTTGTAACCGATGAATTGTCTATATTTTCAGCTCTTAGAGCAAATACAATACAGCCATTAAAATGTATGTCTGCATTTACAGATTGACACATTTTTTAGATCTTTATACATATTTACAGATTATTATTTACAAATCTGATTATGCACACATGGATTGAGATACAGTTACGCAACTCTCATTTGTAAATAGTTTTGCTACAATAATGGCTCCATATGTTTCGCAGAACCGTTGACATGTAAATAGGTCCTTAGTTTAAAAAAATGCTGTTTGTCTTGTCATATCTAAGGATGCTCTTCTCTAAACTCAGCATTGATCATTAGTTGATCCTATACTGGATCCCAAAACTACATTACTGTTTTTCATTTTAAGCACCTAGTATAAATGAAATATTTTATAGATACAGCTATAAAGGTGTACCCCCCTCCTTCCCTTGATCCCCAGCAGCAGTAGTAATAGTAATCGTCGTCGTCGTCGTCGTCGTCGTCGTCGTCGTCGTCGTCATCATCATGTATTTTTATATTTTATCACATTTTCCAATCCTGGTAACAATATTAGTGTACCCTGTAATTAAGTACATAAAAACACTTCCCTCATAAACACAAAGTTCTCCCTTGAGTCCATTAAGCCAGCCTCTTCCCTTGAACTAGCAGATCTTTATTATTTATTATTATAGCTACTGATCCATAATTTTATTTTATTGATACCACATTCAGTTTGTTGTAATTCCACTGTAATTTGTGGGCAGTATTAATGAAACACTGAGACCAAAATGTGATAATTGATCGATCCGTCAACTGCACTCACAGCCTGATGAACATGGTACAAACAACAGTGCCTGCGTGCCTCCTTCACTTGGCTCATTGTGCGTGTAGGTACAGTGTAACTGGACCCAGTGGATACCTGGCCAGTCAGGACTTGCAGTGTGTGTGTACAATAAAAACACACAACACACTAATTATACATTGCCTTAGTAGCAAGCACATGCTGTGACTCTAGCCTGTGCTTGTGTACTTGTTTGGTATCATGTGTGCATCTCACCGTGCTGTGTTTGACTGAGCGACTGACTGGGCGGAAACTAGGGGAGTAATAACAGAGCACGTCACAATCCTGCAGTGTGGAAATGTTTTGAGTTGACACATCTTACATGATATCATGGAAAGTCATCAAGTCCCACATTTTGAAGCTGTTTCTTGTTATGGTTAAAGCTGCTGACCTTGTTATAGAGTAGGTCTAAATCCAAAGAGAAACAAATGAGACAGAGGCATGTGTCTCCGAAAACTATTAGTAGTTTTTGGTAATGTTTAGTATATATAGAAGGTGGACGGTGGACACAATAAAGGACACCTGTGCAGTGCTGTGAAATACAGTACAATAGCTGTGTAACTGTTATTGTGTCCAACCCCATGTGTTTTCACCTGGCCACTGAATTAAGTTGTAATTTTCTTTCCAATAGTTAGATGAGAAGATCAATACCACTCTCATATTTGTCTGTATAATATGAAGCTGCAGCCAGCATCCAGCCTAGAAAGTCACTGTGTATGAGGAAAATAAAACAAGATACATGTTAAATAATGAGCTTTAGAGCTGTTATCTTTGGCTTTTTCCTTCTGTTTCCTGTTCTAGTTTTAAGTTAACTGTCTCCAGCTTCATATTGAACAGACAGATATGAGAGTGCCATCCTTCTTCTCATTTAACTCTATGCTTTTTCATTTTAAATTCCTGTCTGTTAAAGGAAAAAACATATCAAAATCTGTTTGCTGTTTACGACCTCAGCCTGTGTGAATAGTTAACGTCTTCTGAGACTCTGAAAGGAGCTTTGTTAAGTTATCTCTGCCTGGTCTCGGAAACTTTAAATTTTTAACGTAAAGCCTGAAACCGGAGATCTGCAGTTGGGAAGTCGCATACATTTAGGAGGCAACTGGATCTAATGAAAGATGCTATTGAGTTGTATTATTAAAAGGATCTAATATTTGTGGACTTTTACTCAACAGTATGAGTAAAAGTCAATATCTGGCATTCTGCTATATCAATTTCTGACTATCCTTTTTAAATCTGTCTCTCACAAATCCCTCAACTTTATGAGAGTGTAATACAGAATGGCTGGAGTACATTTTTATGTGTAAAAGCCTTAAAGACACAATCACCGTGTAACTCTGACGTCTCCTGTATTTGCAGGTGACCATAAGGAAGGACCTTGAGAGCCGTGACTTTGGTTTTAGTGTATCAGATGGGCTCCTGGAAAAAGGGGTTTATGTCAACATGATCCGCCCGGATGGCCCCGCTGACCAAGCAGGGTTAAAACCTTTTGACCGAATTCTTCAGGTACATTTTATGTCAACCAAAAATATGTTTTAAAGAAATTTAGTTTTAAATTTCTGATCAGAGTTAGATGATAAGATCAATACCAGTATTGTGTCTGTACACTGAAGCCAACCATCTCCTGGCCTTATTGGGAAAATTGGGAAATGCACATATTAACTCGTTCAGAGTGTTGGATAAATATTGATACCAGTCTCATGTCTGTTTGTTAAATATGAAGTGACAGCCAGGGGACGTTAGCTTAGCATAACGACCTAGAATAGGGGAAATGGCTAGCCTATTCTTGTGAATTCTATGTAACCTCTCCATTTAAACATTTAAAATTTGGTTTTAAAGTTTTTTTTTTTTTTCTTGCTGTTTCCTGTCTAATGTTGTATTCTTTACAAAAAAGTCCCTTATACTGTAACTTTTTAAAAAATTTTAAAGTTTATTTTTCTTTTATTTATGCTATTTTATCATAGTTTCTAAACTGAGTGTTGCCCTGGTCAAACTATTCATTTTAAAGAAATGTTATAGCATGTTGAAAGGTGAATAATTTGATTCTGGTGTTCCAGGTGAACCGTGTCAGGACCAGGGACTTGGACTGTTGTCTAACAGTGCCCCTAATTATAGAGGCAGGAGACTGCCTGGACTTGGTCATTAGCAGGAATCCACTGGCAGCAGGAGACACCCGGCTGCCCGACAACTGTGACGACCCTTCAAACCCCCTTTTCTGCTTTCCAGAGCGCCGGACCAACAGCATCGCCCTGTGACCACAAACACTAGCTTTTGAAAGCACTATAGCATCGGGACCCTCACACACATCACGGACGGTTAAATTTGTCACATTGTACCTCTCAGACAGACCTTCACACTCATGTTCAACACGCCTAAAAGCATCTCTCACTCACAAAGATACAAGTGCATGTGTTCACTATTGCCAGTTTTAGTCACTGTGTTAACATGACTCAGAGGAGGCTCTGGCTTCAGGGCAACCCCCTCCCTCCCAACCACTTCCCTCTCCAGAGGCAAAGCCACATGCAGGATTATATAAGAGGGGGAGTCATAGCTTCTGACTGAGCCAGAATATCAACACACACGCCTCAGCTCTGGAGAGAGTCAAATGCTGCACACACACTGCACGTTTTTACTATACTAATATGCACATGCAATGCTTCACATGCATATAGCACACACACACTAGCACACACACACAAACACACACACTCTGACACACAGGGTGCTGATGGTTTAAAATCACGTTGTGCGTATTTTAGTTATTTCGGCCACAACTTGGCTCACTGCCCTCGTTTCCAGTCTCTCCTCCACGCTGCCTGCCCCAGAGAGGTGACAGTGTCTCCAAATAGACAGAATATGCTCTCTGTTACTTGCCAAGTATCATTAACTACATTTTAAAGCCCCTTATATCTTAATACCAGGAATGCTTGTAAAGACACTCTAACCTTTTATGTTTTAAAGTGGGTGTCCCCTGATGGATGGAAAAATAGTTTCTGAATGATTTAATTTTTTTGTTCCTGTTTCAATGACTCCACATCCACATGTTTACAAAGATATTGTTTTCAGTTTCTTTCTAACACTGCGTTTGCACATGATGCACATTTCTCTGACATGATCTCTACCCTTTCACTTTTTCACACCTCACTTTCACTATGTGAATCTGCGTCTCTGTGGCATTGCACCAGAATGACTTATGGGTTGGTTTGTGATCAATCACTGATGCTTCCTTAAGTGAATCACTCATCCTTTCCCAAAACGGAGGATGAAATGCCTTTTCAATTTTCAGTGATGAATGATTTTCTTGTTTTCACTTTCACATGTGACTGGATTCATTTATCAGTTTTATTCTTCTCTGCAGTAGCTGTTTTTCCTACCAGTATCTATAAGCATGTTAAGCATGCATAGGGTTTGTCCTCAGAAAGTAGCTCTTCCTTACACTAAAACATCGGAGTAATCTGTTTGTTCCAACTGATTCCTTGTGAGGATGCTCCCTTTTTTATCATGACATTGTGTTTTTATAAAGCTTTTGTGTAAGAAAATTTGGCCTGCTCATCCAACTGCCTCTCTGGAAATCAGAAACATTGTTTCATGTGAAGATGTTGTGAGATAGTTGCACTGTCCCGTTTAGAGCAGCCTGAGACTGATTAATCCTTGGGATGGTAACTTTTTTCAATCTGATTTCAGACTAATGTCTTATATTAAATGTCATGTTGTATACAGAGGCCTATTTTTAAGGTTTTATATTCATTTGCTGTAATGTACCTTTTATTTTACTGTATAATGTATCATGGTATGCAGTGCTTTTTATTTACATTACATGCACATACAGTATAGTATCTTAACGTAAGCTGTGATACTGAATGTGGCTATACATTTTCTTTGGTTAATTCCACGTCCTCCCTGAATACGTCAGGAATCATTTCAAAGGAACTTGAAAGATTTATTGGATATTATTTTATTTTTGTTATTTATTTATTATAAATTAAGAAATGTATTACTTTTTATGGGAATAAAGTTATGAAACCGTAATGGATTTACACTGTGTTGTTTAATTTGGCTCTCCCCAACTAGATTATGTACACTGACTTAAACGTGTGTCAATACTAAGGTATAATGCAAAATTGTATGTCTGTTAAGTTTATTCACCCCTTGGGTCCAGACTGAAATATCCCAATAACTATTTAATGTAGTGCCATAATATTTGGTTCAGGCATTCATGTTTTGCTCAAGATTAATTGCAATCACTTTGGTGATAACCTGATAAACCTTTCATGTAGCACCATAAGCTGGTTAACAACACTTAGTTATTACTGAACTAATGACCTTCCCATCAGCCTCAGCTGCACTTTTACTCCAAATTTAGTGAATGTTAGCATGCTAAACTAAATTGGTAACTACATTGGTGACCACAAACTTACCGGCTTAACATGTTAGCATGTTACCATCAGTGTGAGTATGTTAGCGTACTGATGTCAGCGTTTAGCTAACATACCCACTGTGTCCAAGTACAGCTGCTACCATGGCTGTAGACTTAAAGCATCAGTTTGTAGGATTTAGTCGCATCTATTCGTGAAGTTGCAGATTGCAAACAGCTGAACACTGCTCGCGTCTATATTGGGGGAATGAGAATGGGCTGTGAAGTGTCACAGAGAATCTGGTAGCTGCGAAAAATCTAGAGCCAGTGTTTTATTTGTCCGTTCGTGGCTACTGTAGAAACATGGTGGACTCTGCAGAAGAGGACCTGCTCCCTCTGCAGATAAAAACAACTCATTCAAAGGTAACAAAAACACAATGATTATTATTTGTTAAAAGCATGAATATGGTCATTTGTTTTCCCCAGATTTGATAATACAAACTATTAACTACTACTACATACACTAAGTACGTGTCTCTTAAATGACTCTTCACACAAATGCATCTGCAAGCTCAGATAACAGGATTTCACGAAGTGCTGTCCAGTTTCCATGAAGCATTTGGAGCCCTTGATTCCCCCCTGTATCCAGGTGACGTGAATGTAAAGTGTTTGGGGGTTCAGTCCTTCAAGGGCTTAGGACGGCCAGTGGGTCACTGAGACATGCCCAAATAAGCCAGTTCAATCTTTGTGGGTGAGATGTCAATGCAGTTGCCACCTGCTGTTGGGGTGGGATGAACACCCTGAAAAATGTAGGACAAATGTCAATGAGCCGTCGCAGGGAGTGGGGAGAGGTCGGGGTTGCATCGTTATTACAAATACATATAGATAGCTATTTCAGAGGTGGTATCAAAATGTATTGTATGTATATGATTTGTATAAGTAGCCCTTACAAATAATAGACAGTATTGATGAAGGTTGAAAGAGGGAAAGAGTTACATGATCAAATGTACTGCTCACAGTTAAAGTCTGAAGGAAACAATACTTGGTAGTATTTGAGCAGTAGTGAAGAGTCACATGCAACAACTTTCTCTAAACCAAAGACTAGAGGCTGTGCACCCACCACTTAGAACTTTTAGTTAAGTCATCTTGAAATTTAAGAGCTGCAATGATATCTAGCTTGGTGTCATTCCTGCGGGGCCTTCATGTCTATGAAGACAGATAAAATGATATTGCGATGAAATCCGGTCTCTAAATCATGCTACATCTCTTTTCAACAAACAACTCTTTCAATATGCAGTGATGATTATTATACAACAAACCTTTCAGTACTTCCTGGAGCAACAGATAATTGGACATACAGTATTTTTGAAATACTGGATATCTACAGGGTACAGTATTAGGAAACAAAACTGAAATACTCTGAAAAACCAATTACAGTTATGATATGCTACCAAATCTACAGGGGTACTGTAAAGTAACAAAGGGGGATTTGGGAAAATCTCTCAAAACTCAGATGGAGGAGTTGTTGAAAAGTAGATGACGACAGGGTTACTCGCCAATCTTGGGGCAATGTTGTTTTAGGGTTAGAAAAGAAAAGGGGTTCAAATCTTGGAATAATGTATAAAATAGTAATAATACACTATAATACTATCATTTTTTTCTTCCACTACCAATAATATTTTATTGGTACCCAATTCACACAGCAAAATGACACAGTCAATGAAAGTTTAAATTATAAAGTTGCTTACATGTTAATCACTTAATAATTATTTCAGCCTCAAATATCTGACACGTTAATGGTTATAAATATTTTAGTGTCAGATGGACATTTCTCCACTTTGCAGGAATAAATGCTTCAGAGTCATTCATATATTTAAAGAATGAAATAATTATTGACACAAAAAGTTCCAAAGAAAAAGATGTTTATTTGTAATTTATATAGAAATGATGCAATGTGCATCTCGAAGGGGACAACTGTGAGACAAAAATACTTTGGTACACTTGAATTTCCAAGTAGCACGAGAATTTTGCGGACAAAGCAGCACAGTACGGTGTGGTGGCTCCTGCACATGCTTCAGGATAACAATTCCTTCAGATTTTGTATTTAACTGTGCAAGTTGTTGCATTATTGAACATTTTAAACGGTTATTTTAGATTTGATGCTGCATTTTGAACGAGGAATGCCATTGCTTCAACGAATATTGCACACTGAAAAATGTAATCCAGGCTCACAATATAATTGATATTTAGAACACAAATTGCTGAGTTTTCAGTAACATTAATTAATTGATGATGTTCATATGATGTACAGTATAAAATTGTTACAAAAAGGCATATGTGATTTACAAACAATTCAAATTCTATAATACAAATGCCTAAACTGAACATTAGAAACTAGAATCCAGTGGTAGTTCTGCAGAGCATGTCTGCTATGGACATGAGCACAATGGAGAGCTGTTAGGATTTTTAGGAAAAAACTTTTACTTTTTAAGAGATCCTACAAATAATTATGAATCAGAATGTTTGTTGTCAGATGTCTACTCTATTTTGTCATTGTCTTAAGGAGACAACTAGATACTGTATATCAAAGTTTACAATATCAAAAAGTTAGAAGCTAAAAATATTTCTTCCTGAAATGTGTTGCAAATGTAACTGCAATACCTTGCAACAATAAAAACAAATACTACAATAAAGGTGAAATGACATATAAAGTGCAAAGAGAGGTTTCAATAAATGCACTGGGACTGACTATTATAGTCACACAGGCTGTGTACAAATACTAATAAAAATGCCACTTCCCTTTTCTCCTTACTTCCTCTTCCTTAGCTGTTTTTCTTTTTTATTATTTTGTGGATGGATCTTATGATGAATGCATTTCTCACAGTATTTGGCCAAGGCCTTGTTCAACTTGTAACTTAAAGGACGTCAAGCAAGATTAACTCTATACACTGCATATTGCCACGCAACATTACGGTACTCTGATAGATGTGGGCGGCTCGTGATACATTCATTTTCACTGCAGGGATGAACAACAACAACAATAACAACAACAAGAGATTAGACGTTATCTTGGGCAACAAGACTGCCACAATCACGTGAGGGTGTTTAGACATTTTTTTCTACCTTTTTACACAGTTAATTACTCGTTTAGTTTACTGAATTTCTTCTATTACACCAAAGAAAAGCAAATTCGTCATCTCTCCGGAATCAACAAAAGGTAGTAAACATTGAACATGTTCTATCTCAAAATACAGCCTAAACTGAGATCAGTGCCAACTACAGTGACAACAATTGTAACATCAACAATATTGATATAGTAAAAAATAAAAAACAATTACAAGAGAAAGAAAATTACAACAATAATATATAACTCTCTTCATAGAAATCAAACCAAAGTATCTCTAACGTGAATATATTGGACAATGTAAACCTACCATTATCAATGTTAGCAAATATGATATTAACACAGAAAGCACATCAATCTTATTCCTCTCACAGAGAGCGCTCACATCATTGTTTCTACAATGGTGTGGGTGGGCTTGATCAAGCCATTGTTCCCGTTTGGATCCAGGGGCTGTGTCAGCTCGCTGCCCTTCAAGTTGTACTCTTTTGGACGAGAGCTTACGCCTGACTTCGCCGGGGCTGCCACAGCTTTGATCCGCTGAGGAAAGGAAATGAGCAGTTAGAATAATGATCATCACAAACTGGTGCCGTTTAAGGCTCAATATGACAGCTATCACAGTTTCAAATAAATTTCAAGCTACACCATTCACTATTTATTAAAGCAATAGTTTATAATAGTAATAGACCATTTTGGGGAATATGCTTTCCAAGAGTTAGTTGAGAGGATCAATACCATTGTCATGTTTGTATGCTAAATATGAAGCTACAGCCTGCCAGCATTGGTAACGGCAAAGGCAGAATTGACTCTTGACAGAACGTTACGACCTGCAGGGCAAGGGTCATGTGACCAACTGGAGTAGGATAGCTAGCACTACCGCTAGCGAGCTAATCAGCTAGCATGTTTACTGCCAGCTGACCCCTATTGGCTGTGTGAGCTGACTGGGGGTTTGACGGTGTTGTTTTATGAGTTTGTATTTTAAAAATGGTGTAATGGACACATCTCAGAAGAAATTAATGACTGATTATTACTTTTGTTGTCTAATAACAATGGCACTGAGCTGTATCTCTTCATTATTTGACATTTCTCTAGACTAATGTTAACATCAGCTAAACATAAGCGACCTTCTGTTGCTTAGCTAGCTATTAAGTCTTTACTTTGTTTCTCCCATGATCATAATTTTTACATGGTTCAAATCAAGATTTGTCAAAACTAATTCAGATGAAAGAATAAAGAAACCTGGCATTTTCAACAAGTACAAGTAGACAAGCTAGCAATGCTACCAAAAATGAGCGCACTGCTGTCTCATTCATTGACCCAGATATTAAATGTCCCCTGGGACTGAATGCACATTGCTCCAAATATCAGTTTTTCTGAAAATACATACTCTGGTATCCCCAACTTACGTACCTAACTAACACACTTATGATCTTTCCTAAACCTAATCAAGTAGTTTTGGTGCCTAAACCTAACCAAACTGCGACCGTTTCACAACATTAACAATGTAACGAAGGTTACCTGACCAAGGTCACCTGACTTCGTCCTGTCCTACATGTCCAATTATACAAATATTCAGGGCAAAAGAGTATATTTTCGGAAAAACTGGCCTTCAGAGCATGGCCTTTTGTTTTTCGGATAATGGGTTGTCGAACAAATGGGCTTCTAGTCCAATGGGACATTTTTCGGGCTACTGGGGTTTCCAAATAATTGGTCGTTGGAGCAATTGGTGGTCCCCATTCTGGTAACCTTTGGACGTAGCCAGACTAAGCTGTTTACAAAGCTAAGCTAATAATCTCCTGGCTTCATAGTCACGGTACAGATATGAGATATCGATATCGATCCTTTCATTTAACTCTGAGAGAAAGCAAAGTGTATTTCAGACTATTTCCATCAGTTTCTTTAAAAGCGGTTAAGAGTCAGCTCACCTCGATCAGGGGTCCTTCAGACTGTAAGATCTTGATGACCATCACCATGGGGATGCAGATCATGGAGGACAGAGCCAAACACCAGCCCAGACCGATGGCCCAGTCAGGGTACTCATACACTTTGTTATAGGTCAAAGGCTTGTACTTCACCAGGGAGAAGACAAAGCAGCCCTGAAAAACAAACACATGCCTCTTTTAGTATAAGTTTTACACCTCTCTGTGACCTTGAAAGTAGCAGCATTTGCCACATGTCCATGAGCCCAACACAATAAATTGACACTTCATAAGCTGCTGCTGATCTCTCACCATGCAGAGGACAGGAGTGATTATGGTCCAGCTCCATTTCATCCATGGGTTTGGTCTGTAGCCAATCATATCCTCAAGTCCATCATAGAAATTATCAACTCCTATCCAACACAAAGAGAATAAAGAACAAAATGAGTTCTAGCACAAGTTCGTCAAAATCCTGAATATCACGTGTTTGTTATTATGGAGTGACCTTCATAGCCACCCTTGGAAATTAGGTTTATGGCCCCTTGTCTCTGTTATCTGCCCTAAACGGCAGCATATATTTCCACTGGGTTACGTCCCATGTAGTGTTTATAGTATAAACAGTCTTGCTTTGTCAGTTATAATTAGCTCACTAGGTCATCCTTTATCTTTTCTTCTGTGTTGACTGTAGTGAACTATGCATTTATTTATGGATGACATATGGAAATTATCTTTCATTTAAAGGAATTATCTTGTGTTTACTAACTTCAGGGAATCTTTTATTTTTATTAAGTGGAGAATATGTCATTTTATTGACTGAACTTGTGTTGTGTTAACCAGTTATAAATACCTGGACTGACACATTGAAGAACTGTTCAGATATGTGTAGTACACAGTTTATTCTGAACCCCTTAATCTGAACTTTGGAGAGTTATTTGGGGAAACATACTTAGCCTCACAGTCACAATAACATACATATAGTGCTGGTTTAGTGTTACTTTTTCTCATTAGGCTAAATCATTGTCTGTCATTAATAGTTGGATCAAATCTGGTGGGAGGCAACCCTGGATAGCCAATCACAATCTAGCGCAGGACCAACACCATCCCCAACCCCCCCTCACCACGTCCCTGCATACAGTTAAACATATTTACTACTGAAAGAAGCACAAGGACACCTTTGTGTACCACCAAGAGATCATTTGTGCCCCTCGGGATCATTACTTTGAAAAACGACACACACTACAGAAAGCTATCACATAGACTCGTTTCCACTTACCATAAACCCAGGCTACAGCAATGCATTCAAAGAATGCAACCCACAAAAGGCACACACCACTGGCTGCATAGTAGTCAAAGAGTTGAAACACGTACATGCCACCCTGAAAAAAGAAAAGAAGGAAAGCTGCATTAATTATCTTTCTGATGTTTGTGGAGGGAATGAAAGTCACAGAGATAGAATGGGGTATCAAAGCAGAGGGGGTGAGCCTGCTGTGTGGTTCTGTGTGGTGTGGGGGGGGGCGGGCAGTGGCGTTGAAAGCGGTGCACAAGAATGCTGGCACCCTACCAATAGAGGCAGAGTTGAACAGGTGCTGAGACGTCATTGAAGCACGGTTAACTGCTAAACGGAAAACGGCATTCCGAATTGTTCCATTCAGACACACAGGATGTGAGTGGTGAAGGTGGTGGGAAGCCATATTTGGTCGTAACAATGTAGCAGCCAACAGGCAAGTGGAAAGTTTTTGGCGTTATCGCTGCTGCTGATCCGAATACACATTCTCTTTTTCCTTCTCTAAACAGGATAAGCAGCAAAAGTGAAGGGAGCAGAGGCTTTATGAAGTGAGTGTTGGTGAACTTACTTTTGTTACCATGGCAAGTCCCAGGAGATAGCTTATGCAACACATCACAGCTATAAAGATCTCTCGTCGGTAACCCTTCCTGAGGACGGAAGGATATAGATCCACAATAGAGGTGATCTGTCCTTCCACTTCAACAAACTGTGGAGACAAAAGCAACTATTAAGTTCTCATAGGAAGAAAAAAAAATCAATGTTTCTTTCTGTGTGCATGCAGCTCTTGTTTTGCCTTTACAATCCAGTGATTAGAGAATGAGAGCTGTCTTTGTTTGGCAGTAATGAGAATTTAAACAGGGCTCCTCTCTGCAGCACTGGTTTGTTGCTACCAAGACACAACAGAAACAAAACAACAGTGAATCACTGTCTCCGTCTCCCCGTCTGTGTCTCTCTCCCGCTCCCCTGTGTCTACACATTGCCTCATAAGCTACATAATGTCATAACAAAATTATGAAATTGTTCTTATTTATGAAAGTACGCTGTCTTTATGCAATAAGAACATGCGCCTTTGTTGCATGAAAACCAAACAAAAACCTCTTACATAACAGTGGCATGTATGTGTGAGCGATGGTAACAATATATAGCATTCAGGACTACAAATCTGCATGAAATTTATGGTCAGACACACACACACACACTGTCATTGGCACCATTTCTCTCATGGCCATAGCTGCATTTACATGTGCTCAAATTTAGAGCATCGGCCTGATCTTGCAGTTGGCTGAGATGAGTAGCCGGGCATGTGCAGCACTGAGTTAGCACAGGAGTAGAATTACACTTGGAGGCAGGAAATGTGATATAGCCGGAGAATCCCTCAGGCACGCACTTGTGTTTTGTCTGCTTAGATTATCTTCTCTTAATCAAAGATCTGCCTCCTATCAAAGCAAGATGGCTTCCATACACGCTATTATAATGACTTCTTCTCCTAACTAAATGTTTGGCAAACATCCATCAACTTCCAAAAACTTAATTTGTGGTATTAGAGGGCATTAAAAGGGCTATAATCCTCACACAGTGTGGTTAGAGTGGTTCGTAAAATGCCTTTGTGGGAACAGGCTACTTTTCCTGTCTGTCAGTTATCTGATACCTTGGAGACGTTAGATGTGGATCAGAGAGACACTAAATGTGTTTTACACATTGGGGCTGGCAAGGGCCAACTAACCCATGGGACCTGGCAAGTGTTTGTGTGCAATTCAAGGGCAGTACACCAACTAACTGTTGATGTAACTATGTAACTATTCTATTCTCGCTTAAGAAGCGCCTTCAGAGCACAGTGAACACTAGCTCCTAAATCATAGTATGATCCCTCCGGTCTCTGATCTCACTGCACAGAAAGGAAACGCTCTAGAAAGCCCGCTCCATCCTTCAGGACCCCACCTATGTCCTACACGTGCTCTGCAGCTAGGACTAACTGGAAGAAGGCTACCTTCATACAGGAGGCTGGTTGCCAACTAAACTCCAGTTTTATCCCTCCTTCTATCACGCCTTGGACTTACCTCCACACCTATTGGCACTACCACCGCTCTTTGTTTATCATGTCTTGTCTTTACATGTCCTGTGCATATGTTCTCTTTAACTATGCCTGCCTCAGGAATTGCCCCTCGCTGATAAATAGAGTTGAGTCGAATTAAAATGTACATAGCTTGGCACCACAGTCATTGTGAAAATACTGACCTGGCTATCAAGGCCCAGAAGCAGCAGCATGATAAAGAAGAGGATGGCCCAGAGGGTTGGCAGCGGCATCATGGACACAGCTTTAGGGTAGGCGATGAAGGCCAAGCCGGGACCTGGAAGGAGAACATAGTGGGGATGGGGAGAAGGGGCGGGAGACAGAATTAACATTTCTATCAGATTTCAGCTTGGACGACATGAGGGGATTCGAAAAATAATGTAAAGATTGAGCTAGAGAAGCTGAGCGGGGTCTGGCACTGCAAATAAGCTACAAGAAATATCATCTACCATAAAATGTCCAACAACTGACTGACGTCGGATGAATGTAACTTTATGTTTATTCTATTCTATGTGTTGAGTGGCTTTAAGGAAATAAAAGTGTTTATTCATGCTCTAGTGTCCTTTTCATGTTTATTTGCAGGACAAATATCAACCACCATATCGAACTGCACATACTGACATACATAAATACCTTCTGTTTATACTGTATATAACTACTGTCTGTATATGCACTTACTGCTACTGTGTGCAAGATGGTGAGATGCCAAACGGCATTTCTTTGTACTGATATTTACTGTGTGGAATAAAATAATCTAATGTAATCTAAACAAAGCAAATGAGGATTTTAGCAAAGCCAAGAGCCAGTTCAGCAGGATATAATAAGAGCATGAGACAGAGTCAGAAATCACATAAGCTAGTGCCTCAGTTGAACAGCTGAGCAAAATACAGGTAATTTCTCTAGAAAAAATGCTGTAATTTATGAATTTTCATTGTTTTCATATATGATGGAATATCTTCTATGTACACACTAGCATGCCATCACAGAATTACTGTCATTATCATACAATTGTAGTTTGATCTCACATGATTATATTCAAGTTGCAGTCTCAAAGATAGCAAGAGTTTAATTTTAACTGAACAGAGCGAGCATGCTGAAAGAAGACGCATCTCCTTCAAAGTCCACATAGAGTTTAAAGGAAGGCAGAAACAGAACCGGTGGCGTCCACCTCAGGAGATCCACAGCTTGTTAACAGAACTGGCCTTACAGTGCAGTGCTGCTGGTCAGAAATATCACCTCAGGGTGCCAGTGCACATACAGTAGAGTACAAACAGTACGGTGCCAATCTTCTGAGCAATGTCCCCTGGTCAAAAAGATGTAAAGCTACGAAATGACACGAGCAAGTTGAATGTGGGACTTTGAACACCTGTAATAATGATGATGGCCCAGAACAAGAGCTCTTTAACACGACAGTTCATTGTGTAGCTACAACACACAGCACTTGACCAATACAATGTAATCTGTCCTCAGAAGAGGTGGAACATGTTTCAAACTGAGGTAACAATTCTGTTTCTTTAAAGCTTTTATTCAAGGAGTGTGCAATTGCCGATACCTCTACATTTCAGCATCATCGTTTCCGAGACTTAAATAAATTACTTGAATTACTTTTTTCCCCTCTTTGCTGTTGCTTGACTAACTCTTTTGAGTTTCCAATTTCAAGTTTCCAGGTCTATTTTTTATTTTCTTTCGTTTGGCAGCAGCGCCCACCATCACTGCTGCCATCACCTTGGACCCTCGTACCTGACTCTGCCACATCGGCAATGTCCACCCCTTGTTCTTGTGCCATGAAGCCCAGGACGGAAAATATTGCGAAGCCAGACACAAAACTGGTACCGCTGTTGAGGGCTCCCAGCAGCAAACAGTCCCTATGTCACACATATGTCATGGAGGTTGTTAATGAACACAGGCGGAACCGAAGTTCCCATTTTCTTTTCACGCAACCGTCTCTGACACGAGTTGCTGTCACTACTACAGTCCCGATCCCCCCCCAGCGGAAAGACAGCTCACCTGTAGCAGTTGTATTTGTATTTGTTGTAGCTCCCCAGTGACGTCATGGCTCCCAGGCAAATGGCGTAGGAGAAGAAAATCTGGGTTCCTGCATCAATCCACACCTGAGGAGACAGAGGAAGAGGTTCAGTGTTTTCCAGATTAGATTAGGTCAACCTTAATTTGAAATGTTATCCTTACAGTCAGCAACAAGGGATTGCTCTCATCTTTTAAGCTGATGGCATTAAATTGTTAGAAGTTGGTTAGCATATCCAGCAGATGTGAAGCAGCATTAGCATTAATTTGGAGTCATGTTTCTGGCTCTCCAGTATTCACTCTCTTTTGAGCTCTGTTATGGTCTCCACCAACTCCTGAGGGAAACATCTGGCTCTTTAACTTCTAAATGCTCCACTATGTGGATCTACTAGGTAGTATACAGTAGGTTTTAGGATTTTCTTCACTAAAAAAAGGTGAAAATGACACTGATGAGAGCGGTGAAACTAAAATAAAATCATTCTAAGATAACGAAAACCCAATGATTTCTATTTTCAGGTGATTATACATTAATGAACACATAGTTATGCATATTATATTCTATTTCTACCAATAGAGCCTCCTAAATGTTACACACTGGATCTTTACAAAGAGCTACAATCAGTCACGACAATGTATACATTAGAGAGGCTTCTACAAAGACTCAGCAAGGTATAATGGGGAAATGTCAGTCATTCTATCTAAAACCTTATGAACATGATGTACTCTGTTCTCATAGTTAAATCTCATTTATTTCAACACCTCAGCATTTGCACAGGACACATGGGGGCTAGTCAGTCGAGACATGTCCGCTTGGTTTAGATGTTAATCAAATCACTTACAAAGGTAACAACACCTCCCAGCACAGCAGTGGATTTTGGTACTTTTGGACAAAGTCTTATGCTAAGCTAACATAAAATGAGAAACTATTTCTTTAATAGCTGGAGGCAGAAAAGTGAAAGATATGAGTGGGAGTTAGAGAAGGGATTTATTACAAAAAAAGAGGAGATGAAGAGTTCTTAAATCCTACCTCTGGATCTTGTAGGCGGGTCAGGTCAGGGTAAAGGTAAAATTTGATCCCTTCAGATGCCCCGGGCAGGGTCACTCCACGCACCAACAGCACAATCAGCATCACAAATGGGAAAGTTGCTGTTATGTACACCACCTAGACATGAAAAATGAATTATTAACCAAAATACTGAACAGCACACTTATGACTCATCATCATACTTGAGATATAATTGGATAAACTCTACTTCCTTTTTAAGTTCTCATTTCAAACTCTTATTTTTCCATCTGCGGGACAAAATAAACACTGTTCTTGTTACCTGGTAACAATTCCTCCCTACCCTAAGTATTTTTAAAGAGAAAAAGTAGGTAAGGTGATGCCTACATTAATCATGACAAGGATCTGAGATGGAGTGCATGCACAATAGAGCATGAAGCACGCTCCTCACTTTCTGAATCGTTATCTGATTAAAGATGAACGGTGAACATTTTAAGGCATACTAACAAAACACAAAAGCCACAAATAGTTCTTATTAGAGTTAATAATCTTCCTCACACAGTTCCTCCTGTTGGCTCTGGCCCAGTTTCTGTCCCACTAACAGAAACAGAGAGCAGGGCTAAGGAGCAGCAATAAACTGTTTACAGCCGACAGTGAGTCTGGCCAACAAGTAACTTCTAGGACAGCAGAGGCTTGTGTCTTTAAATCAACCACATTAACTGCCTTCCAAGCATGTGGGTTTTCTCTGAGCAACAGTGTTTTGTCACTGACTTGTTGGGGTAAAAAGTAAAGGCCAAACAGCATCCAGGCAACACAATAAGTACAGGATGTGTCCACGCTTCAGCACTCACTTTCCCAGTGGACTTGACTCCCTTCCAGATGCAGAAGAAGCAGATAACCCACACTGCAAGGAGACACAGGGCCAGGTCCCACTTGAGGGGCCCTATGTCCTCAATCCCAGTGGAGATGCTAAGGACGTTCCGTCTGCAGAGGATACAGAGGCACAAAAGAGGTTTGTGGGACTCAAAACAGAAGAGGTTATCTTGTACATTTTCAAAACACACCCAAAGAGTCATGTGGCATCTCTAGATTGTGACCATGAGAGACTAATAAAAATGACAATAAAAGTGGAAATCAAACAGACACATGACTCGGCCTTTCTGTGCTGTTTTGCTATCCGGAGTCTAAATATACTAGAATGGTGAGAAGACTATTCGGAAAAGCTTTGTGTGTCTAATGCTGCATAATCTGATTTAGTGCTGTTTGTTGTGATAAATTGTCATCAAATTCAAACAAAGCAAATGGGCATGAAAAAGTTTGCAGTTGATATTTCAGTTTAGTTTGAAAACTTAAGTCAAACTTTGAAGAGCTGCAGTGAATGTATGAAAGGTGCTGTGCAAATAAAGTTTATAATAAACCGCCATAGAGAAAGTAAACTGCCTTTTGTAGTAACTGCTCTTGTTCAAACATTTACACAAGCAAGATAAAGAGGCAGTGTTACTTTGGTATATTCACGTGTGTGTGTGCGTGTTAGGCATGCTGTCAGTAACTACTCACTCCCAGAACTCGGTGACGGGGGAGGTAAAGTTGGTAATGTTGGCTGCCAGCCACAGGGTCTTGTTCTTTCGGACTGTGTCCTCTACACAGAATTCAGTGTTCCAGGGCTGCTTGCATTTTGCCCAGGGGAGCTCCGGCTGAAAGCACTGAACTAGGTAGTAGAGTCCCCAGGCTAAGATCACGATGTAGTAGACGTTCAGTAGAGATACGATCACAAAAGAGGCATAGCCAATACCTGGAGAGAAGAGGGGAAGAAGGCAAGTTTTAACATCAGCTAAAGAAATCATCCAAGATGGCGTTATGATTTCTATTTTCTTCACATCTTACAATTAAGCTTTGTGATAGCTAAGAGTTTAAACATGCAACATGTTCAAATGGTAAACATGTTGGCTATTTACACATACACAGATACAGAGCAACATTAGCATTCATCTGGAGTTGTAAGTCCAATATTCACTCTCTCTTTTAGCTTCTTTTTTGGTCTCCACCAACTCCTGAGAGAAATGTCTGCCAGAGTAACTAAATCCGATGCTGAAAACCTTTGTATATGGGTATTTATTTACTAGTGTTGTTGATTGATTCGGGTCACAACATTTTAATACAAAGTATTTGAATTCTACATATTTTGCTATAAGTGGTTAAAACCCGGCTATTGCAATTGAATTGGCTATTGCTATTGGCTGATCTGAAGGCAGGTTACATATGTGGTAGCAGCTTTTGTCACCAACCTCCGCTCCTCCACTCTGCAGACTGTGGCTTGCTATATAGCTGTAGTCACAGACACTGGAGAGATAGCCTCTTTGAGCCACTAGCTTAGCTAATGTTACAACACAGGAACCACACAGAAACTTTTACAAATAGCCATGAATGTGCTTCTAGTGACCAGGCAGACTCTCTATGTTTACAACGCGGCGTAGAGAGTTTGACAGCAGCTGCTTGTGGCTGGTTAGCTCAGTTAGCTCTGACTACCAGCAGCTGTACTCCTGCTACACTGAGCAGTAGTCAGTCTGTCACTCAGGTCGGTGTTACCGCCAGCATCATATACTGGGTGGCCACAAGGCCACACCCCCTCTATGATTCTTTTTGCTGCAATTTTTAGATTTAGTAAATTTAAATTTAGTCACACAATGCTCTACTCTGTCACAAGATAGTTATTAAAAGTATTGATAATAGCCCTCTAACGGCAGCAAAGAATCAGTGATACTGGATGTGACTTTCAACTAGAAGAGGACAGTAAAACACAATTAATCTGTTTGAGTGAGGGTAAACTGCTCAACAATCTTAAAAACAAGCTATCACAGCAACATAAGAACAATTAACTCTTTATTAGCTTCCCAAGCTTGACTCTGCTATCTACTGTTATAATGTCCTTAGTGTTTTTACACTATTTTTAGATGACTTTGTCATGAACCTGTGCACAGAAATCCCCGGTACTCTTCCAATGCTCAAGAGTATTTTTAAACTCATCATCTCTGTCACCCCGACCTCCTCGTTCCCACATTCCAAACGCAAACTGATAGACAAGTCAATACTGTGACAGGTGGGTGTGTATGTGTATTCACTGTGTGCTGGTGTGCAGGGAGTAAAGTCATGAATACTCCATGTGATAAAAACATGTGAACACAGAAGGGGGTACAATGGGAAGAGTTGTGATTGGCCAGTTTTGCGGCCACTTGTGGACTGCGCCAGATGGACAGACAGCAGCCTCAGCGCTCATTGAATAGCGGAGACCATCAGCAGCTGCTAGAGATCCGGTGCTGCACAGTTTCCTCTCTTTTCATGTTGCGCCCTGTGTGCGAACATGAGTAAGGGTGTGACGGCAGCTGCTGAGGGTGCCATGCCTCAGTGCTTGTCTACAGCTGTCACTCAAACGTAAGAGGGGCTGCACCTAATGAGAGGCCCTGGAGTCTTGGAGTATCAGTACCTCGTGATCTCAGGTCAAGAGACCGGTTGAGAGAACCCAACCCTGACAACACTGGCACAGCACACCTACAGTATTTATAATATCCTATAAACTGAGACAAAACAAGTGGATCCAAACTGTAGCTCTGTGTCAACAAAAATGATCTTGCAGACCTGCTGTTTGAGACTGTACCCATTGCTAGGCAACTTGATGTTTGCTAGTCTGTTTCCACGGTAACCAAGAAGTTATCAAATCCATTATACACACCCAATCTGCAATCCAAGGATGACTTTTCATGTTTTGGAGCACCATCAAGCATGTGGTGATCATATTTACATAAATGTGTGTGTGTGCATGTTTATGCTGTACCTGAAGCAGAACCTGGAATATACTCCTATACTAATATCATTCTACCTCCATAAAGTAAAGTAAAGTGAAGTAAAAATATAGTAAAAAAAAAAAAAGGAAGCAAATCAGGGCTGAATTTTTGTTTTAGTAAATGAGCGTTACTCAGCGTTAAATATTACATGATCTTGTCAGGTGTGCTGTGAGACACATCCTCTACTGCTGTGTCTGTGTGAGCATGTGCAGTGTTTGTACGCTCGGACTGACCAGTGAAGATGGGGCAGAGCTTGGCCCAGCAGGTGATCCCTCCTTCAGAGGTGTACTGGCCCAGTGCAACCTCCAGGAAGAACACAGGCAGACCACCCCCAAATAGGAAGATGAAGTAAGGGATGAGAAACGCACCTGGGTAATGGATACAGAAAACAGCTCAGAGTAAGACATCTTCTTGCTACGCCAAAGGCTTAACACAATGGCATCTGCTGTGTGTGTCTGCTGCCTACCTCCACCATTTTTATAACAAAGGTAAGGGAAGCGCCAGACGTTTCCTAATCCGACGAAGCCTCCGGCCACGGACAGGACAAAGTCGAGCTTACTGGCCCACTTCTCTCTCTGAGGAGCCTTGCCTTCGGCCTCGTCCTCAGGCCTCGTGCCTGGGCTCTTCCCCGGTGAAGGTTTCAGGGTATCCTTGTGAAAGTCCTTGAGGCATTGGAGCTTCTCTTTTTGTGCCATGCTGTGGGTGGCAAAAAAAGAGAAAGGACATGTAAGATGACAAAGACAAACAGAGAGAGAGACAGAGGTGAGCGGGATAAGACGGATAGGTAGGAGCATTAGGTAGATGATTAGGGAGTCTCCTGATTGCGTTACAGCATGCTGTGTAACCACTGAGGACATGATATACAGTACTATGTCACTAATCTTGCTAATCTGAACAACTGATGCATGGAGGTCATTCAGACTAGAGAAGTGTTTGGGGAGCTGATTTGCGCTGATGTGACAGCCACACAACACCACACATCTCACAGTGCAGTCAAACACTGAAAAGGCCCACTGTCTTTAACTGCCTCAATCATTCAATCAATCTGTAAATAATCAGAGTATTTTGGTTTTAAGGAAAAACATCTACACTAAAAAGAAGAAAAACTGCCAGACAACCATCTTGGTGACAACGTGTGCACTTTGACAACAATGTTTCTGATTTGCTGTACTTATAGTTTTCTGTTTTCCATCGAGTCTCAGGGTGGGGCTTTTCTTCTCAGAAGGGGGTACATTGTCACTGAAGGAAAAAGGAAGGGACTGTTTGGACATGATACACGCCCTTAAGACCTCGCCAGACCGTGCTGGAAAGTTTCCTTTTAGCTTTCTTCTTATGCTAATGTATCAGCAACAAGTCAGCCCCGCATAATCCAAATTTAGAGAAGAAGATATCCCTCTGCATTCCCAAAGCCCTGGCTGCTCCCCGGAAGATACAACAGCTTAAGTTTACTTAAAGTAAACCTCCTTTCCAAGAAAGACAGGATTTGTTATTACTGACGGAGGTATCCTATTTCCCGGCATGAGCCAAAGAGGAGAAAAGAAAACCTTATAGGACAGGAATAACTGAGTAAGACACGTCAAGACTGAATGGGATTTAAGCTCCCCACTGGCGTATAATAAAGAACAAACGAGGGACAATGAGGAAGCTATAATTAATTGTAAGATATGAGATTAATTGGGATACTAGTTCTCTTCCTTTAAGGGAAGAAGTCTGCAGAACATCGCATACTTCCCCTTAAATTTAGACTTGTGTATCAAAGCTCTGACAAAAGAACAAGTTGTACAGAAAAGTGTCAACCCTTCAAAGTATTAAGAGTTTTGTACAAAATGTAAAACCATTAAGAACAAATGGAACATTTTAAAAATGGACAGTAATGACTGGAAAATTCAGAGCAGAATAACAATTATCACAGTGATAATAACAACGTTCCCCTCACAGAAATCTGCACTTCTACCAGCAATCACATTTAAGGAGAAGATACCCTGAAAGCTCTCACATTCCTACCGGGAACGATGTGTCTGCTCACTTAATCAACACTTGAACAACAACCCCTCCACCCCTGTGTGCCATCGTTTTCGGCAATTTCTCTCTTCCTGTTATGCATGACAAGTCAACTTGAACCACATTTCCATTCTCAGACCTTCTTACATAACTGGAACAGTTCTTGCACACACTGTTTCTCATCCTGTTTGCTGTCTCTCTCTTTATCCCCTTTGACTCTGGTCTGCTCAGCGTATGTTTTCACCTGCCTGCATGGTGTTAGGAGGCTGTCTGCCCGCCAGATAAGACTTAAGGCAAACTGTCCTTGGGATTTAAGCCCACACATACTTGACTACCAATTGCCTAAAATAAAAATAAAGAACAGTATTGTTTCTACAGAAAGCCTAACTAATGTACAGTTGAAATCACTCTTTCTACAGAGACATGTATCACAAAAAGTCACAATGAACTCTATTGGCAGTTGGCCCTCTATTTATTTAACCTTTTAACATACAAATACAAAAAATTAAACTCTCCTTTCCGGCAAAGCAGTTTAGAAAACTTACATTTCCTTCATGGCTGCGACTATGTATAGAGTCCTTCTCTCTCAGCTGTCACCATTCCTCTGTACTGAATGCCTTTATGCCGACACGGGTCACAAGAAGTGGAGCTGACAGCAGGGCCCGCCCCTTGGCTAAAGACAATTAAATCCAAAGTAGAGATTGGACGCAGCCTAGCTGTGACAGACAACTCAGGTACCAACATGGGAGACTGTAAATTTCCACTTCCCACTACTCCCTGCCCACAAACATACACACAGCCAACACACACACACACACGCACACACAAACACAAACACTTATTCATGCTGGAGACACCGAGGACAAGTCAGAGGAAAAGAAAGGCTGGGCTGGTCCAACACTGAGGGTTGGTCTTGAATTATGATCTTGTACAAATGAGATGAACTGAAGGCAGCATTCAGAGTTTTAGTGCCGTTTTTTTACACTAAAATATGAAGCACAGTTTCATAACAAGCCCCTCATAACATCACCATGCCACTTCCAAGCATCTCTGTGTGAAAACTATTTTTATTCGCTCTTGTGCTGTGATAATTTCTGGTATGCGGGACATTTCGAATCACTGTTCACCATTCTTTCATGGTCTGTTATCTGGGAAATGTAAACGAGTACAGTATCAGCTCCTAATAAGGTAATGTGTCTCTAGTGCTCGTCCATGGTCTGTTTAGATACCATTCACTTCTTTGAGAGCTCACAATGGCTGGACAGAGAGTGGCATGCAAGAGTCAATTAAAAACTGATAAATTCCTCTGCAGGATTTGCACAGTCAAATGGGGGACAAGGATCAGCTGATGACAAGCTGTCATTTAAACACAGCACACACACACACACACACCTTTGACACCTCTTAGCTTTGCACGACATTATAAGCCATCATATTTCGGTCTGTGTCATGCTCTGTATACTATTTTGGATATGTAACTATCGACAGACACTGTCTCATGTATTGTGTGAGAGACCACAGGGTTTGTATCTTGAAAGAGGCTTGCAACAGAAAGAAAGTCTGTGTGATGTGAGTCAACTCATAAAAGAGTTCCCCTTTAATAAAGAGAAAACCTTGCATTGTTTGTTCGTAACTTAGACACTGAAAAGGGTTTGGTTATTGTTCAATGAAAGCAACATCATACTGTAAAACTGGATCTGTATTTTAGTGAATTATAAATACACTGTTCACTTCAATTAAATAAAATAATGACACTTTTTTCTCCAGAAACCATTATAAGCTTTGGTTTTATTGTATCTTGTCTCAGTTTTAGCTTTAAAATCTTCAACTTTGTGGTGCTCAGATATGTTGTAAGTGAGGAGAACATTTGTGTGCATGTGAATAAGTCTGTGTTGCGTTTAAGGAGTACAACACAAATCTAGGAAAACACAGTTCTAGAAAAACAAACGGCATTATCTCTTAAAAGGTCCAGTGTGTGAAATTTAGGGGGATCTATTGGCAGAAATTTAATATAATATTCATAACTATGTTGTCATTAGTGTATAATCACCAAAGGGAAGGTGAAACAAGTGAGCCACTAGATTTCACTAAATTCTACACACTGGACCTTTAATTTACTGGAAAAACTGAAAAAATGTCTTAGAGTTTGAATTACTTTTAGTTTATTAAAATGTTAAAACATGCTGACAGTTTGAATACAATGAGCTTCAACAAACTTTTTTTTATCATGAGCTCATTTCACACAAAAACACTGAACTATTAATTAAGAAAGTCAAATTTTTATAATCAATAGGCTGTTAGGTAAAATAAAATGAATAAACTACTCCTTATTTTGCAGTTTCCCAGCTTGGGGACTTTGTTTTCAGCCCCTGCAGCTAAAAACAGGTACAGTGACCCTTCAGTTTTTATCCTGCTGAGAGGGTGGATTGAGGTTATTAAAGGACACCCGTCAATCAATCATACACTGGAAGGGGCGGAGACAGAAGAAGTAGGTTAAGTATCTGCTACTAAGCATAAGATAAATGTCTTAGTTAATCAGACCTTCAACAGACTCTCCTCTAAAGGGTGCATAAATATTAATTCACTCATCCATTCATCCATTCACTGAGTGGATGACTTGTGGGTGTGGATGGTGAAGGTGTGCTTGGAGCCTGCTGAAGATAATAATCATATTTCACACACACACACACACACACACACACACACGCACAGACACACGACATACATCACGTCACTGTGAAGCCGGGGCGCGCCTGAACGCATCACAACAGACCTCCAAAAATGATCAAAGAGAAAGGAGGAACAGGGTCTTATCAGCTATAAACATAGGAAACCGGGTTCAAAGGCCAAACCCGCGTTTTTATGACATTATTTGCTTAAGTTATTTTTTTTTTAAAGCAGGGTTAAAACGCAGCTCACTCTTTTTTTTTTCTTTTTGCGGAAGCATTATGAAAATAATTAGGACACAGCATCATGTTGGAAGAAAAATACATGAAATGTGTTTATATCAGAGAATAAAATTAATCATCACATGTCTACAGAACAACATCAGAATATTATAATATATAATATATAACATGTTTCTAAAAAAAACACAATAATCTTAAAAAGACAGTTGAAGAGCGGATACTTCTTAAATACAGTTTTTTAATAAACAATATTAACCTTATTTACTGATTTGATATGTAAAGAAGATGCCGGATTACCTGCCCTCGTTTTACTAAGAAGCAGTTGTTCCTTGCAGCCTAGGTTTAACGCTGAGTGAAACAATTTAATCTGTTTGTCTCTGGGACCATTGTTTCTACGAGCTGGTGCGCGTTTAATATCAGTTAGAGTGGAAAATCACCAGCTTCTCCATGCAACAACTTCTTAAAGCGACAGCCTCCCTCCGTCTACCTTCACCTGATTCACTCACTACAGTAATTGATCAAATGAATCGCACCCTTAGTATGTTCTTATGGTGCTTTACATTTTGATTTACATTCACCAATGACCTGCAAAAGCGCATTTAGTCAACATTTGGCACATAGTTCAACACATACTCTGATCTGATGATGAGAATCTTTTTTTTTTTTAAAACACCAAAATAGTTGCATAATCCTAAAATGACTCTATGTGAGTCATTTTGGTAGCACTTTCTAATGAGGCCGCCTTTATGAGCTGTAACTAATGGCTTTATCAGTAGTTAATAATAAAACAAATGCTCAGGCTGCAGGTATAGATGTTAATAAGTCATTAATAAAGGGCTGAAGTATTGATAAATGGTTTTCAAACTTTCTGCAGGGGCACACCTTTATTCATATCCATGTAAAATTAGCCTCTATAAATCATGGTATCATTCTGATCTTTCTGTTAACATTTATTTTATTAACTAATGCCAAATTTGACAACTATATTACTATACATTTATTAACAAAATCATCCAGTAAAACACCTATTTAAACCAGACAGGTCACAAAATAATAAATAAGGGTAGCCTAATGAAACTACAAAGTACTGATACAGTAAAATAAAAATGTATTTATAACTTTTTATATAGCTATATAGGCTATTGCAACAAATAGAAAATCAAAAACTAAATTTAGAATTTAGATTGTTTGAAATTTTAAATATCTTAACCACTATTTGATGATATTTTGTACACACATACATGGTCCTCAGAGGATTAATCTACTGATTTTGGTGATTCCTGACTTTTCATCTCCAGCAGCAGGTTCACATTTTTATCTGTCAATGAAATGTCTTGAAATGTCTTACATTATATATGACATTGTATATGAAAGCATACAGTTACTACCGTATGCACGGTATGCTATTTGTATGCACACAAATAGCATGCAAATAATGTCCCAGGAAATATCCAACAATGGAAATTAAATAAATATATGCACACAGCACAAGTAGTAATGAGTAATGAACTGAGAGCTGCCTTTAACGCTGTAGCCAGTTCTCTTTATTTTGTTCCACATATAAATGAATAGGAAGCACAGGCTACAAAAGTAGTAAAAGCTGCTGCTGATAAAAAAAAATGGCGCTGGTTCTCATTAAAAAAGTGGTGGTATTTTTTATGCTAAATTTACAGTTTATTCATTTAAATTATAATTTGAACATTTTAATCAAACAGCATATTTTGCAATATATCTGTAAAGTACCTTATCGAGTACAGGCAAACAAATGAATGTGAATATTTCTCCTATATCTGCAAGACTTGTGCGTTTAGTTCACTGTAGTGTGGTAATGTCTTAATCTGGAGAATCAGCCATGCCGAACAGACGACACAGCCATGTGTTTGTATGTCATGTATTGCAGGTGTATAAAGATAGTGTCCACTAATGCAAACCACAGAGTGTTTACTAGAAGGTCAATCATGATCAAAATAAATCTTCAAGATCAACTTTAACTAGGTTGTTGTTGTTGCTGAAACAGGAAGTGAAAGCATGTTGAGATGTTGTAATGTTGAGATTAACCAGGTTCTGACAAAATATTTTGCCAGAAATTTAGTATTTCATTGTGCAATTATATATATAAAAAAAATCAAATTACAGGGAAGAACAGATTCTCTGTTCCTTATTTTATGCTGTGTTTTCTTTTACTTGCACGTTTCCTCATTAGCCTGAAAAGCAACATCTCATGTCACTTTGGTAAAGCAAAGTGTATTTCAAAACCACCCAGTCCCCTTGAGTTTCAGCGTTGGTTTCTCCCTGCAGAGAACAAAACCTCTGTCAGCAGGACAACTGCTTTCTGATGCCTGAGGGCAAAATGGCCAGGAAACAGGAAAGTGACTGAAAAAAAAATGCAAGTTTGGACGCTCACTGTTTGTAACTGTGACAAAAACCAACCTTGAATCTAAAGTAGCTGAACACACACACAGGGGAGAGAGAGCTTTATCCAACTTGTGTCAAGCTACAATAGCAGGCATGCCCACAGAGTAAACATCCTAACCTTCATCATCACCTTTATATAACAATTCATGTGAAACAATAATAGTTTTTACAAGTCTCACATAATCATGTTTGTTACATTAGAATATTCACATTGTTCTTATCGTGTTTTTGTGTACGTTTATTTTCACTTTGGTGGCCCTAACATTTGTTTTTTATTCCCCAAAGTCATTCTTTAACTTTGCTCTAATGTCCTACCTGCAAAGCACCAATCAGGGGCCTGAATGTGGGCGACCAATCAGGTTCTATTTTGTTTTTACTGTGTCACCTTACTGCTCTGTGACTTAGGTTAAATGAAATTATGCTGAATTTTAAGTTCTGAAACTACAATGTTTTATGGAAGACCTTATGGATGACACCATATAAATGCCAGTTGAGAATCATTATTAAAAATCTTTTTTGAACTTGTTTCAACTTTTAGCTAACATGCTAGTAGCTTGATATTATTAACTATGGCCCGACTTTATAATAAAAAAACTAACTGTGGCCTATTATTTTCACATTATTGTTACAATATAGCCACCATATCTGGCTTTTGGACAAATGTAGCTAATTCTTGGAGCACAAAGGTAAAACAGCACAAGAAAAGACGTAGACCAATAAGAGAAAACATCAGCAAATTAAACATTATCACTTTGTATCTGTCAGTGACCAAATGTTTCCATGTCTAAATTTAAAGTATGTAGCTAAATCGCTGTCTGTGCCCAAATATCCAAAATTATAACTCCCTTTAGTACTGTCAACTTTTTTTCAACTAACTCGCTGCTTTCTGTAAAGCTTTAAAACTTTTTAATACCAGTGTGACGATGTGTCATCTTCCCAGCAGGTTTGACGCATCTCCTCACAGAAGTCTGATTGTTTACATTTGAAGAGTTCGGGGGCCAGAGATTGTTGTTCGGGATAGATTTAGCTGGTTTTTTTGTTAGAGGTCTACCTTAGGACAGACCAGTCACATGGTAACAGAGTAATCCTGTCTCACATGCAGACGCTGTTTGTATCCATCTGCAGAGCTGGCCCTGTTCTCTACCGGCAACCTTGTGACTCACCTCAGGAGGCGCGTTACTTTGCACTATACGATACACCAACACTCAAACAAGATAAAGGATGAAGATGGACATATATCGGAAACATAAAACAATATCCAAAGGACCTAAGCTGCACCAGATGCATTGTTCCTATGATTCGCATATGCATGGGTCAGATATATTTACTCAGCTTTCTCAGAGAGCCTGCACAGTCTTTGACAAAGCTGACTAATAAGACCACTGCCCACTTGCTTGTCTGTGTCCTGGCTGCTAATACTTCAAGGGAGCATGTAAGGCTTAATCCCATATTACCGTGGCTATGTTAAGTGTAAGCATCTGACTGTCACACACTTCCAAGAGGAGCCTCCATACAGAGCAGGGAGATAAACAGAATTCCTGGTTGATAAGCTTAAGCTGCAATCAGTGTTTAGGAAACTGTATAGGCATCCTCAGCGTGGTATTTGCATGACATGAGAGTGGAAATGTGGGGGAAAAGTAATTGGCTGCTTAACCCTTCTCATTTCCAGACAATCCTATAAAGAGATCTTCTTGGCGGGCACCTATCGTTCAATTTAGTGCGTCCTTAGTCTTTACTGTGGCATTTCTTACATAATGGCTGGCTGGGGCTACATTACACCGGCTCAAATCCTAAGTCTGTCCAATGAAGCGTAAACGATGGGTATCTTTGGTGCCAAACTAGGACTGAAACTACAGTGTACAACCAAAATCAATGCACCTGTATGTGTGTGTCGTATCTTACAGTATTGTTCTTTTTTTTTAATGTTCAATAATGGAAATGTAAAAGTCGGGTGTAAGATGTAGTGAAGGAGACAGAGAGAGAACCAGAGTTTATTAGGTCAGTCTCTGGCTAAGTATGGGCTTACCACTCTCTCTCTCTCTCTCTCACAGGTGGTAATCCCTAACTAATAGCAAATTAGGATATTGGCAGTGACAGCAGCAGTGAGTTATGTCTTCCGTCGCCTGAGAGGACGTAACAATACACAGGGACAAGGTCGCAAATGTGCACGTCAGTCCGTCACAGAACAAAACACATATGGCTGACACATTTAATACACATGTCGTAGTCTAACTTGATTTTGTAGTGTTGAAAGTATAGATGATTGTAGCAATAAAGTATACGCTCCTGTAAGCATAAGAGATTGTAGATCCGCCAATGGTTAAAGTATTCAGACCATTACTGTAAGTACCACAAAGTACAAAAAAAACTGTACTCTATCTTTGTATTTTCATGAAAACCTATATGTGAGCTATGTATAGAAGATTATCATGAGATGATCATGTTGTTCCTGGAAAGACAGGCGGACAGATGGTATGAATGACACAGCCCTGCATGTTCTGTACACGTCATCCATATAGCACCTGAAGTAAAAGGTCAGAATGAAACAGCAAAACCTAAATGATACAGACAAAATAAGGTAGAAAGGACGATCAGATGGATGTGGATGTGAAAGGAAAGTAAAAGAAAGCAAACTCTACCCTCACACTAGCTTTCCTGTCTGTCACTGCAGTATTTATTCTGCACACCCAGGGGTCAACCCTTTATTGTTAGGAGGTTAAAAAAACAAGAAGAAAACAAGGCTCTTCCTCCATTTTACTGGTAGATTTCTGCCCTTGCAGATTCCTGTATGAGGAGACAGAAGTCACAGTGAAGTCTCAATGAGTCACGCAGAGGCATGAGTCAAGAGCCAAGAGATTTTACCCTTTGCTGCCCTCTTCAAGATTTTCTTATTGCAAAAACACATGGAAATCATCAGGGCATAAAATGTTTTTTTAAGGGCTGGACACATGGCAAAAATATGAGTCATAACTTTAACAGAGAAAAAAATGAAAATAGCTATTTTAATAAGTCTTCTGTAAAGGAGACTGCAACTTGGGAATATTCAAACTGAAAGCATGTCTGTATGTTGCAGTTGATTTGACAAGGAAATGCTTATTTGAATTGCAATCAAAAGTGTTGGGTGTGTGGCATATCAAAAATATGTAACAGATAAGAATATTGATAAACAGCATGGGTCACATTTGAGGTTCAGATACTGTGCTTCATACAAATTCTCCTATTTGACTTGAACATTTTTTTAAAGGTTATACCTATTTGCAATCATACATGTAAATGCTTTACATAATTGTGAAAATGTATGTGTACCTGTGAATTATCTGTCAACACATGTTTATTTTTTTGTACACCGATCTCCCCCCGATCGCAATCTCAAATAAACGTCATATTATTTTGCGTCCTCAGGATGTATGAGTTTCATTGAACACGTGACTCTTCTAAATCATGTAATTCATGGCAGCTGAGAATGACATTAAAAACAATGTCAGTGATGTGAGACCTTGATTATGAGTTATTATAGGGCTTACTTAAACTATAAACTATTCAAGAAAATAGCATCACAAAGGGCAAAGGGACAAAGTGATTAATTGCTTGACAGGCTACTACTAGCCAAGATACATACTGACCATGAGATCTAAAATAGATTTATTTGTGTTAACTGACAACAAAAGGGTTGTGCAATCAAGGTGGGGAAAACAACAGTCTACAGCCAAGGTAGTGAGGGCTGTATTTCAGCACAGCAGCGCTTTGAGCTGAATGTTATCACATTTTGGTTTGCTAACATTTTCTAATTAGCACAAAACGCTAGGATGATGGAAATGTCTTTAGTTTATTTATTTTTATTATCCATTTTAATTTGATGTTTTTTATTTATTATCATTCTTGAGCGCATTTAGATAATAACTAGCTTTGTCAATTTTCTTTTAATCTAACCATCTGGCAGTACCTCCACACCCACTAGATGGCGCTCTAAGGCCCACTGCCACATGAGAATGGCTTTCTCACTTTGCTTCTTCATCTGGGCACCATGGATATCCTGAATACATTCATGGCAATTCATAGAATAGTTGTAGAAATATTATAATACTTTAGCAAAAGACAAAGGCGTCAACCTAGTCTTCATCGTCTGGGGACCATGAACGTCTGCAAAACATCTCATCTCAATCTGTCCAGTAGTTGTTGAGCTATTTCAGTCTGGGCCAACGTGGTGGAAGTTAGAGTTGTGCTGTTAACACGGCTAAAAAAGCCTGGGTGTAAACTGACCTTTTAAAGTCAAATTTAACTGACAAAGTCACGCTTTCAACTGATTCCAATGTTCACAGTTTCCAGGCTTCACTGTCGCTCTGACTTGGGGCCAACGTGGAGGTGTACAGCTGTTGAATGGGAACTAACTGAGGCACCAAGCTGCTATCATAAAGAGGCTGGTTTGACTTGTAAACATAGTTTCCATGGAAATTGAATAAAGTGACCGAGGAAATTAAATAAATGATGAGAAATACAAGTTCCTCCTCTACAGAGCATAAATAACCGTTTGTCCATGCAATGTGATGTCAGTCTGAAACCCATTAAACTGGACTTTCCCACCCAAGACTGAAACCACAGCGAGTTGCTTAGCAACCATAAAACTTTTGTATAGGAAGCTTGCTGGGGTAATAACTAATTGTGTTGTTTATTCTTGTCTTTTTCAGCATGTAAGCCTTCAAGACACTGGGCTGGAAGCCAAGGGTTTTGTTGTCTAAAGGATGGCCTTAATGTTTCGGTTGAACTGCACTTGATTGTGTCCCAACAGCAGCACCGCACCACAGCATACTCCCTTTTGGGATTTAAGCTTACCCGCTGTTCTGAACCTCAGGGCTCCATTAAGGTGACGTACAGCTTTTTTTCTTCACCTCCAAGACTCTTTTAAATGAGAGTGATGGAGCCCACAGGGACGCCAATTATAAACTATGGGGCAGGTACACTGATGCACACATGCAGTTTTAAATCACCCTCTAACATGTAACAGTGCCTCACTATTTACCGACCTTCATCACACCTTTGTGGATTTGTGAATTAGTCATTTGAAAAATGGAAAACAGCCCTATTCAGAAAATGTTCCCATGAATTCAGAGACCTGAATGACGGATTTATTTGTTTCCCACAATGCATGAGGAGGTGTGTTTCTTTTAAGAAGCAGCCATGGTGAAGTGATGATAAACTGAGAAATGGCGCCATCTTTACAGGATAGTGTATTTTAAAATCATTTATTAAATGTTTATATAGTGCATATAAATGTTACAAAGTGGAGGATCTACCAGTACACCTGGAGTTGATGGGAATATAAATAGTTTTGGTCAAATTGGAGAAAATGAGTGTTTGACCAGATGATGGCGCTACAACAGCGTTTCTCAAACATTTTATACAACATGCCACCTCAGAAAATATTAGTGTCATCAAGTGCTGTCATTATGACCTGTGTTTAAATACAGTTGCACAGGCTGGCCAATATTCAGCTATGGACAGTTCAGCATTTCACAACCAAATTTTATATAATGTAATTAATCTTATTATGGAATGATAACCTTGTCCTCATCGCATGAACCTGTCCATAGGCTGAATTATTGGCCAGCCTGTGCAACGTGTATTTAATACACACGGTATATATGGAGACAGCACTTGATGAACACTA